ATATATATATATATGGGTAAGTTATAACGACCTCACTGCGACCTCAATGGAATGATGGTTAGTAGGGGTGACTATCCCCGAATGACCTTATTTCAGGCTAGTGAGTTATTATAATTTGCCCATATATATATATTATATACTTGTTTATTCAGAATGTTTCATATTGGATGCTTACATATTGTTACCACCATAACAGGATGAATTGTAGATGCTCCATCCAAGGGATGGTGGGAGGGTCCGGTGGGGTAGGGACGCCGGGGCGAACTTCAATGGGATCAAAATAGTGACTAAGTTGGATATAAAATATCATATTAGTCAAGTTCTATATCTAAGTTAGATAAGTTGGATACTAAGTTACATTACCTACATTATATACTATATACAAACTGGTCATAAAGATGGATACTAAACCGAGATCAATGGAGTTTTCATCATGATCAAGTCCCTGGGGATGCTTAAATTCAGCTGAATGCCAACCGGATGAACATCGGTCAATGAGTCGCCATGGTAGACAACCAGTCACCATGTCCATGATCAAAAGTTGGATTATGATGGATTATGCATTTAATTTCATTTATATATATATATATATTATACACATATTTATGTATGAATGTGTATATTAATATACTCTATATATACTATCCATATTGGATGATGGTTTCTTTCTAAAACCTGAACAGGAACTAAACCTGAACTCTATGGATTTATATGGCAATATTGTAATTACAACATATCAGAAAACAATTAACCACACACTTTTGAAAAAATAGTAAGCATGCCATGAAACAGCCCATACCATACCCTTCAGGCGGGTTTGTCTGAAAATATGCTACTCCCAAAATCCCATTGTTTAGCAGCAGATTCCTCAAAATTACAGTACAGCCTTGTTATTATGGGTATCCTTGGTATCCCCATTTGTAAACCCACCCATATAGGTTAGTCTGAAAGTACCCCTTTGTTTCCCATGGATTTCCAATCATGATTCCATATGAAATTCCCCTGAATAAATGGCCATTTGGAGAGCACAGCCCATTTGAAAACACACCCACATATTATATAATATGTATATATATATATATATACATATTATATTGTAACACACCCGACACGTATATAATACAATATAATATAATATAATGTAATATAATGTAATATAATGTAATATAATAAAATATAATATATATAATATGTAATACAGCCATTCCATCCCATCTAACTTGACCCCAGCCCCTGGAAATGACCAGGACAGTTGGTCCTGGGACGCGCGTGAGAGGCTGAGACGATGAGGGCAGTTGGCCCCGTCGTTTCCCCGTCGGCCCCGTCGCGGTGGTGCTGAGTTGATCTTGGATTTTTCGTGAGTTTATAAGTTTCTAATGGTCCATGAAACTTTGAAACTTTGCTGATTTGTTGATAGTTGAAACTTTGAATATTCGAAACATTAATGAAACATGTATATATTGAAACTGATATGAATCTTGATGGAATCTTTGTTGATTTCCATCCCGATTTGGGATGATGATCAGCAGATCAGCAATCAGCGCCATCTTTTATGTACAAAACAATGGGTTTGTCCGAGAATCATACCCCAAAAAACCATAAGCGGCAAAGATATGGAAAGATGATGATCAGCTATCAGATGATATTTGGAGGTTTTCACAACATCTTCAGACAAACCCGAAACTGATACCGAACTTGGGGCTCCCAATGTCAATCCCAGTGATGCTCAGATTTTTTACACTCCTACACAGTTACGTATATGTGTATATGTTTTGTATCATGTATGGTTACCGTCTGGTAAACGAACATAACTTTGGAAAATGGCCATAGAAATAGTGGATTTACCCATTGGAAAATGGTGATTTTCCATAGTTGTGATAGTACGAATTATTTCTATTCTTGACGTTTACCCTCATGGTGGAAAATCACTCTCACCTGATGGTTGGTATGTCGTCAAGCTAAGGATCCCCAGGCGACCCAGGCGCATCTTGCGTCGCTTCTGCGTCGGAACATCGGTGGCAGAGCACCATGGCACTTGTGGCAGAAGTCCCTGCAGTGCTTGCTGAATGAACCCATGTATGATGTATGCGCTCCTTTGGAATTTCAAATGCGTTGCTTTTCGCGACTGAATCGGAGATGATTTTAGCTGAAGCTGAATGCTGAGTTGCATTGATGAACTGGATTCATTTGGTGATATCGTGTAGCATCCCAGGTGGCTTTGTTTGGTCACAAGCTGGGGAGTTGCCTACAAGATGGAAAGTAAAAGATGGGAAGTATCCAGTTCCATGCAAATCCAGTATCCAATTTCTCATGATGGCACTGAACTACAAAGCATTGGCCTGGGACGGTGTTAGCCATTGCTTACGTCAACATACACCAAGCAGTTTTTCTCCTTGTGTATGTCCAAAGTCGTTGCTGCATATACTTCATATATTTTCATGTTTTGACACCTTTGATTGTGGTGTGGTTCAAAGCAAACATTATCTTCAAGGAAAAAAATGATAGTGCCATTTGCTTAGCAACGAAGAATAAATACAGCACAGCACATCTAAAAGTATCCCCAGATCTGTGCCGCATGCACAAAACATTCTCGCAACACCTAGAGACCAGTCGCAGATGGAAACCTGGCCACCCCCTTTTCCGCAGTATATAGTCACATATGTATATATTATATATGTATTCATATATATATACATAAATACATATTACATATATATATATATATATAATTGTTATGTGATATTCCTGGTTGCCAGTGATTCCTTGCAATTTGAGCCACCACAGCCACAGCAACCTAAGATTGGCCCTCAAGGCCCTTGAGTAGCACTTTTTCCAAACATGGGTGAAGCATGCGATAAACCAAGTTGACAATTTCAATGGGGGCACATGGTTTTCTGAACCATGAGATTTTCAGAGATCATGGTATACCCTCTGGTAATTTAACATAACTATGGAAAGATCCACCCATTTTCATGGGAAAATCCACTATAAATAGCCATTTTCAATAGCTATTTTGACATAACCAGAGGGTATCCTTTTTAGACAAAGCCACAATGAAACACACGGAGGCCTTGGTCAAAGTTTCCGAACATTCTCCCACCCCCTGTGGTCATGCTCCGGCCCTGGCTACTCCGCAGTGTACAACGGAGGACTGTCACGACAAAGGGCCAGGTAAACAATGAGAAATCCAGATGGTTTACAATGGGGATTTAATGGAGCTCAACCACATGAACATAAAGCATGATTTTGATAAGGGTGTTATGGAGTTTCAATGAGTTTTAACTATCAAAGAGTTGGAATTGCTGAACATGAATGTTCACATTGTTCGATCTACCATTTGGGGAAGGGCGATGGGCACATGTTTTTATCTTTATGATTTTATGGTCCCCTCAAGCAAATCCAAATTATTGTTTCATGCTTGCTGATCTATATAGGTTGATTCATAGCGTTTGAACATGAGTTTGGAACTATTTCGTATTTGAATATTGAAATGGGGCTTCTCATTTTGGTCATATAATTCGTGATTGACATTCAAACTCCTTTGGACACTGCAAAACCCTGCTTTTTCAAAGGATCAGGTACCCTGCAATTTTCAGTAAGTCATCCTTCATCCTCTATCTAGATGGTGGGTCTGTCATGTTCCATCCCTATTAGAATAATATCACAGTTGATCAATGCTTCTTGATGCCCTTGTTTTTTTTGAGAAGAGTTGTAAAGGCCAGGTTGGGATGTGGTGTACCAGGAAAAACCGCCTTGGGGCCTTGAATAGCCTTACGCCACCAAAGGAAATGCCATCTTTTTTGCACACATAGGAATGTGGGTCCATGAGGCATACGGGCAATTTGGCCACTGGAAACCCTGAATCTTAGACTCTCTTAAGTCTTAGACGAATGATCCATATGGTTTTCTCATAAGTGTCCATTGCCATGATTGTTTCCCAGAGGGTATAGCAGTACCCTCTGGTAATTTAACATAGCTATTGAAAATGACCATTTATAGTGGATTTTCCCATTAAAAATGGTGATTTTCCATAGTTGTGTTAAATTACCAGAGGGTATACCATGGTATCCCTGTTTGAAAATCCATGAAGTTCGCCCCAAGTCTTCCCCAGCTGGATATTTTTGGTGAGATCTAGGAGCTCAGAAGGTCTGCCAGGTTGGAGATTGGCACGTGGTGCGCAAAGACGACCACTTGCATCACTGGATGAAAATTAAGTGGAAGATGGCCATTGGAACCTATGTTTGAGACTGGTTCAATATATATATATATATTATATAATCTAATTCTTGGAGTTGTTGGAGTTGTTGAATATGAACTATTCATCCATCTTGAAAGGCCTGGATTTCATGGACTTGGGGTATGATTAGGTGATATCAAGAAGGAGGAGACACCCATCTATTGACCTTGCGGCGTTTGCCAGGAGCTGTTTGCTCTTAAGGCTGTGCATCCGCATGTCTCACTTCCAGTAAAGCAACATTGCATCCTCATCTTCGTCACAGCACAGACAGGTGGATGATTTACATCATTGAACACAGATTTCCGGCGATGTTTGATGATTCCATTTGTTGTTCTTTCCCATTGTTAGTCTGTTTTGTTTCTGACGGAGGGGCGTTTTGCAGCCCAGAAAGATTGGATCGCAACTGTCATCTAAACTAATTTGGAGAAAAACACATTGTCGTCCTATTTGGATCCCAACTGTTATCCGTGCTTTTGGATTTTTGTTCATATATTTCATAACTTAAAAAACGCATATAGAAATGGCTATGGTTTTCGGATTGCATTGGCCTTGTTGAACACAAGTGCTTTCAATATCTTTCAATTAATATTTTGATCTTTCAATATCAATGTTGTAGATAGACACTTTGTGTTTGGAAATCAGGTTGCAGAAGACTTGCAAGATTGAAAACGGAGATGTTTCAGTCCTCCCAAGCTTTCACTTAGCCACAGCGAAGGCCCAGCGTTCTTGGTCTTGGTTACCTGTTTTCAACAGACCATGTGCCATGCGTCGCTTGCAGTGCGGTCACCCTCTGAACGTCTTTCCCTTGGGCAACGCCTTCTTGGACGACAGTGCCCAGCAGCGTCGCAGCCAGGGCTTGGGCAACTTACAACGCCTGGGGGACGAACGGCTGCTGCAGCTCTTGCGGTGGCTGGACGTCAGCAGCCTGGGACGCTGCTGTCAATGCAGCTGCATGATGCGGGGCTTTGCGGCGGCTGAAGAACTGTGGCAGCCGCTGGTGATGAACCAAGTCCTGGCAGCTGCAGGGTCGGAAAATTGCTGCAGGGATGGTTTCAATGGTTTCAGTTGCTTGGAGTTAAGATAGTTAAGGAGGAAAGTCTTGTTGATCATGATACTTTGGTGGATCTTCAAACATGTTCAGAAAGGGTTCAACTCTTTTGCAGACTCCACTTGATATCCTAGAGAATGTTGGTACTAATAATATAGTTTTGAGAAGATATTTGTTTCCTGGCAGGGGATGCTACTGATGGCTCAAAAGGAATGAATGGGCCACATCGAACATCTCTAACCTGTTCCATCAACAGGTGTCAGTCATTGGTTTCAAAACCTTGCGAATGGATCCAGCTTTGAGTTCTGACCATCTTGATTCATTTTGCATGTGGCAATGTGCACTGATTTCTGCGCCTTACTCTGGTAGAAATCATGTTACTGGGGGTGCATGGGGGTGCTTGGCATAGCTTGGCTATTTAAATCTATGTGACATATATCTTGGTTTAGACATGATCATATGCATATTGAATCATATGTATATATTTTTTTAATTATATTGTACATAATTTGATACATAATATTATATATAATAGTTATGATATATAATATGATATACAAAATGATATATATATATAGTATGATATATAATATGATATGCATATATAATTATATAATATGATATATAATAATTATATAATATGATATATAATAATTATATATCATATTATATGATATTATATGATATAATAGCATATAACATATAGTACTGATATGAAATGTACATTGTCATATATATATATATATTTATTCGAACACCCCCCCTGAAAACATAACTGAATATCCTGTATAACCCCTCTGAAACTCAGGTTGGAAGGGCCGCACCTGGCGCGAGGCCTTCCTCCGCAGCCGTTCCGGGCCGCCGCCGCCGCGGACGGCGCGGACGCCGCGGATCTACAGCGACGTGTTGTATCGAGGTGGCCGCCGGCATATCATGGGATTTTCATATGGATTACCCTCTGGTTATGTCAAAATAGCTATTGAAAATGACCATAGAAATATTGGATTTTCCCATGAAAAATGGGTGGATCTTTCCATAGCTATGTTGAATTACCAGAGGGTCAGAGGGTAACACAAGTTAGGCATACCATGGAGCATAATGGAGACTAAGGGGATGTATGGGGATGGTATTGGTATGTTTTCTGCCAATAGCTGCCAATAAAACATGGGGAGCTGGATAATGGTTGGTCTGAAGATGTTTGTTATCTGGAATTATGATGATATTTTTGTTCAATCATACTCATATTCAGGAATTTGAAACCACCAAACAGATCCACGTTCATAAATCATTTCAGGATGTGGTGGAACAGATTAGGGAGATCAAGCATTCTGAGATCGGGAAATGATCCAACAACAAGTACATTGTTCAGTGTGTACATATGGAGGTTACCTACAAGGGGGGTACCCCAAAATGGATGGTTTATAATCGAAAATCCTACTAAATTTGGTGATTTGGGGGTACCCCCATTAGGAAAAATGTTTGACATTGATGGCGGGGGAAAATTTTCTTAGCAACAAACAGAAGAAAAATCAATATATTTATTTTATGTACACCAAGAAAGCCCAACCTGTCTTCAAGGCAACAAATTCGTGTTTCCCCACCAGTTCCTCACCATTTTGTTCAAGAAATAATTGGGCCAGAGATGGCCGGAGGTTTCTTCTACGCCGCCACGGAATTGAACCCATCGTGGCTGTCCACGGAGACCATTCAACGAGTTTCGCATGACATCTCGCCCCACGACTTCCTGGAACGTTTTGAACAACAGATCCCTGGACGACTTATTTCGGGGATAAAACATGTTCAGTGTTAAAGATTGAAAGACGTGAGCAGGACAAGTCTCAGGGTTTGAGAGCATATTAATCGTATGGCTATTATTGTAAAATTCTATGGTATTACTATGCATATCTTTGATTTTCATATGCTTATTGGTCAAAAACATTCAAAAACACTTTTTACCATATTTGGGGGAAGAAACATCCATTCACCAGCTGTGACTTGGGTTTTTTTAGGTACTACCAACAAGATTTGGCAATTCCGCCCCAGGAGCTGTCCGGTGATCGTGGAAGGTTGTGTGAAGCACTGGCCCGCCATGCACTGGTCGCGGGACACCTTGGTTTCACGCTTTGGAGCGGTACCTTTTGCTGCAGGAGCTGCGGATTTCCCCCTGGAGCTGTGGTATGACTATGCGCAAAGCAACACTGATGATGTCGCTGGTTTGCAAAACACATGTGCTGGTGTCGGTTGTATAACCTTGGGGGGCTGGAAATGGGTAGAATGTGTGGACTATTACATCATCTGGTTGGTGGTTTGGAACACTATTTTTATTTTTCATCATATTGGGGGTTCCCAATAATCCCAACTGACGAACTCCATCATTTTTCAGAGCAATAATCCCAACTGACTCATATTTTTTCAGAGGGGTAGGCTCAACCACCAACCAGTCATATTACATCTTGGATGGACTGACGCAGATGTTTAGGATGATCGGAGCTGAGGCTCCGACGACCCCCACCAAAAGATGTGGGTTGTAACTCCCATGAAATATCCCGTCAAATAGAAGCAACTCTTTTTGGGTCACAAGACTTCTACCAACCAGCAAAATAGTAGTATAAATAAACCCAGGGGTAGAAGGACTTCTTTAGGATTTTCTGGTATTTTCTGTGCAATCTGTAGATCAAATCCCAATGAAAGCCAAGAAATCCCAGAGACAAAACCACCATTTAACCCAAAAAAATGTGATAGGCACCACCCTTGAAGCCAATATTCCTATTCAATCTGTTTTTCAAGTTTCATAGAAACCCATGATTTTCTCATATGGCAGTGTGTCAAAACCTTGTACCCCTTCTGTTCACATCAAAATAGCTGGGATTTATGGATGTGAATAACCCACTAAAAATGATATTAATAGGTATTGATCCATACCCATAAATCATATTCAATCTGTTTTAAGTTTGATAGAAACCATGATTTTCTCCATCAAACTTGGTATCTTTGAGTCAGGTCCCCCTGTTCATCTTCGACAAATACTTTGCCTCTCGTGCTCCAGAGCTGCTGAAGGATTATGAGGTGCCAAAGATCTTTCATGGCCGTGGCTTGGCGACCCATGACTGGGGATGGGAAATATTTGTTCTAAGGTTGGGCAGATATAGGTTGGAAAGATTCTACATGTATAATATTATATAATATATATATATATAAAGATAAATTTCAAATTAGGTAGAATAGATGTATTATCTAGATCTCTGATGATGACTGTAGATTACAGTAGTTTTTAGTGATTTAGTGACTTGATATATTGATTTAGTGAGTAACTGAGTAGTGAATAAGTAGGAGCATGGGATGATCATCCCATCTATATGTTCTTCATCCTCTACTTGATGAATTTGGTGACCATTTGAGTCCGGGAGATGATTCCCAGTGGAAATACAACCATCGCAATGAGTGGTGCATACCCTCTGGTAATTTAACATAACTATGGAAAATCACCATTTGTAATGGGAAAACTCACTATAAACAGGGTGGCCACGGTTAGGTTCAGCTCGGTTTCCAGTAACCTAACTGCAGCCACCATCGGTTCGGTTACTGTTCGGTTCGGTTCAAACTGGCACGGTTAATTGATTGGGACGGTTTTTGGTGGCCAGGGGCCAATTGAATTGATAGTGGTCATATTTAGGTTGGGTATTTATTTGGTTGTTTTCAAATTTTGCATTTATGGCGCCATACTGTAGGGAAAACCTTTTTTTTTACAATTTCAACTACGGTTTGGTAAACAACTCCTCCCCCTAATGCAAAGGGCGATGATGTGTATCAATATATATATATATTAATATATATATATATATGTGTACACATATTTAGACATTTATACATGTAAAATATATATATATATATATATATAAATATACACATACATATTCGGGCATCCATCTATGCAACCAATCTGTTTCAGACCCCAAACAGTGAATTCATGGTGTTTGTGAATCCGCGTGTACTTTTGGATCCTGCGCTCAGAAGCCTCCCAAACGGGATTGAAGCCAACTTGAAGCCAGATGGAGGCTGCGCAAAACATGATGTATTATCCATCCATCCATCCATCACTTAGATCTACGGTGTGGTTAAACAACATCTCCCCCTAATTCAAAAGGGGGTGATATGTATTTACATCGCGATATATGTATATATATATACATATTTAAATATAATTATATATATATATTTATATATTTATATATTTATATATATATTTATATATATATATATTTATATATATATATATATATGTATTTATTTATTTATTTTTTATTTACATATAGATAGAGATATGATATAGATATGAATATTTTTGTATACGTATATTAAAAAATATATACACATTTACATTCGGCCATCCATCAATGCCGCAGACTTACACAGGCTTTTCCAAATTATTGCTTCTTACGTCATGGCGCAAAGGTACTAGATAGATAATATGGTGGATGTTTATACATTCGGGGCCATGATGCTTGTGGCCTATCTCGTGGAAGCCCTTTGATTTCCGGGGCAGACCTTTTCGAACGGTCAGTTTTCTTGTAGGGTAGCTCCTCTTTGCCTCCTGGGGTTGGACGTTCGCATGTGGGCATGAATTGTCGTTGCCACATTGTTTCAGACCTGTTTCAGACCCCCAAAAATGAATGCAGTAGTGCTGGTGAATCCGCGTGTGCTTTTGGATCCTGCCCTCAGAAGCCAGAAAAAACGGGCTTGAAGCCAAATTGAAGCCAGATTGACACTGTAGAAGACATGGGGGAGGGATGATGTGTCTCTACACCGATCTACCGATCCATCTATCTATCTATCTATCTATCTGTCTTTCTGTTTCAATATAGATAGATTGATAGATAGATAGATAGATATATATATATATATTTAAACCAAAAACTTTGTATATATATAATATATTCTTTCTTACTTCTTATATCTTTATTTCAAACTAAATCTAGATATAGTAATAGATATAGATATAAAAATGTTTTATCAAGTTGATAATATTCGGCCATCCATTACTGTGCAACCAAGCAATTCCGTGAGAATTTCGAATTCAGTGCCTCTTGGGGCTGAATTTGAAATGCTGACCGAGTTGATTGGTTGCACGTTAGTGGATGGCCGAATATATTTAAACTGAAAAATATTGAAAAACAGTTTTATTTATTTATCTTTAAATAAATATGCAAAATGAAAAAATTGAGACAGATAGATAGATAGATAGATAGATAGATAGATAGATAGATAGATAGATAGATAGATACATAGATAGATAGATAGATAGGTTGATAGGTGTAGATACACATCATCCAGCCCCCATGTCTTCTACAGCGTCAAGCCCGTTGGGATGCTTCTGAGGGCAGGACCCAAGAGCACGCGGATACACCAACACCATGCATTGATTTTTGCGGGTCTGAAACAGGTCTGAAACAGGTCTGAAACAATGTGGCAACGACAGTAGTTGTAGTAGTAGTAGTAGTAGTAGTAATAGTAGTAGTAGTAGTAATAGTAGTAGTCGTCGTAGTCGTAGTCGTAGTGGTAGTGGTAGTGGTAGTGGTAGTGGTGGTGGTGATAGTAGTAGTAGTAGTAGTAGTAGTAATAGTAGTAGTAGTAGTAGCAGCAGCAGCAGCAGTGGTAGCAGTCAGGATGCTATCTTTCTTTGCAAGTCGAAACGATAGGAAGAAAGCAACCATCTAACTATAAAGGGCAAGGGGGGGAAGACTGAGACGGTTATGTTGTTTTAGACTTGTTTCAGAGCTGTTTCAGACCTGTTTCAGACACCTTTCGATGCCGGTGGACAATTGCTGCGACAAAAAGGGACAAGGAGCATTAGATGTAACGAGTACGCATGATGGAAGAGAAATGCAGACATATTGAATTTGGTCATTGTAATTCACATTCTGCGTGTAGAAAAAAATATTGGAATGTATTTAAAGCAACGCAAAGCTAGTAGTAACTAGTATTCATCATCTTGGTAGCAGTACCAGTGCAATGAGTAGGCGTTGCCGCAGCAGCAGCAGCAGTAGCAGTAGCAGTAGCAGTAGCAGTAGCAGTAGCAGTAGTAGTAGTAGTAGTTGTTGTTGTTGTTGTTGTTGGTGTTGTTGGTGTTGTAGTAGTAGTAGTAGTAGTAGTAGTAGTAGTAGCTCTGGTGGTAGCAGTAGTAGTAGTGGTAGTAGAAGTAGAAGTTGTACTAGTAGTAGTAGTAGCAGCAGTAGTAGTAGTAGTAGTAGAAGTAGTAGTAGTAGCAGCTCTGGTGGTAGCAGAAGAAGTAGTAGTAGTAGCAGCATTAGTAGCAGCATTAGCAGCATTAGTAGCACTAGTAGTAGTAGTAGTAGTAGTAGTAGTAGTAGCACTAGTAGTAGTAGTAGCACTAGTAGTAGTAGTAGTAGTAGTAGTAGTAGTAGTAGTAGTAGTAGTAGTGTTGCTATTAAACATGTAACCTGCCTAACCGGTTCGGTTAGAGGAATTAGCTTCGGTTCGGTTTTTTCACGGTTCGGTTCGTGTTCGGTTCGGTTAAACCGCGGCCGGTTATTTGAGTTCCGGTTCGGGTCCACGGCCTTCCTGCTATAAATGGCCATGTTCAATAGCTATGTTAGTTTACCAGAGGGTATCTATTTTGTTCCTGGGGTTGGCGACGTTTTAAGTTGACACAAAGGAAGTAGTTGGGCAGTTCCCCTTCATATCTTGGCTTCTGCACCGATCTTTCATGGGCCTCCAACCTTGACCAACACCATCTCCCAATTTTGCTGAAAGCCACCATCAAATTCTGTCAGTAGCATCTCCATATCCATCGACCTATGAAAATTGGTGGATAACTCCCCAGAAATCACAGCCCAGAAATAAAGTTCGATAGATCATTCCCCAGAAATCACAGCCTAATGACGGGTTTTCCATGGGTTTTCCCGTATTTTTGTCCTATCCAAAGGCGACCTCTTCAACTTCTTGGGCGAGCAGCGTCCAGACTTCCGCTGGTTGCTGATCGGTTTTCGTCGCAGCGGATCCAAGTGGCATCTTGACCCGTCGCCTGGCTGTGCCATGGCGGCTTCGGCAGTGGTGCTTCCTTGGTGTCACCAGGTTGGGCCATGGACTTTGACATAGGATCTGGATATACTATATATATATATACCATATATATATATACATATAATTGATATCAAAACCAATAGTGGTAATATTTTTTTAGAAATGATACTTGATAATTCATGACCATAAAGAAGAATGAGAATGATAATGATGATAACAGTATTATTTAGAGCATGTTTTAAAACAATAATGGTAATAATGATAGGTAAATTTAACGGTAAACTGATCATGATGGATAGTACAGTATATTGATTTAGAAGAAATAATATATCAGAATGACCTCACTGCGACCTCACTGAAATGATGACGACCGGTAGCGCGGCGGTTTCCAAAACCACATTCAAAGTTCCGCTTGCGAACTATAGTAGGGGAAACTATCTCAAAATAGCTGGGCTGTTCAGATTTGTGGGAGTAGCACCCATGCAACATGCTGGTGCTTTGAAAACGTTTGCTGGTTTAGCAGCCAATGAATGGTGAGTTTACGGACCCAAAAAAATGGCGGTACCTGGAGACTGGAGATTAATTAATCGGTAAAAATGGCGTGTTGCGTCATTGAATTCTATGATTTCAAGGACGTATAGTAGCTATAGCAGCTGGGATGATGATCCCGAGCAAGAGATGTTCTTCAATTCTGAAAGACAGGGTTACCATTAGAAAAAAACGCTGGGCATGCTCCCACCAAGTTTGAACTTGTCACTAGAGGCGGGGCCGGAAAAAACTAAACGTTCTCCCAAGTTGTGTTTTTGATCCCTTTCAATGCTACCATTTTTTTCGCATTGTTCAGGAACAAGACTTGTGCGTGGAACGCCGTGGTGCGCGGTCGAAAGCGGTGGCTTTTATTGCCACCAGGCCTGGATCCATGTTCAGAGCACCCCTCTGGTAATTTAACAGTTTGCTATTGAAAATGGCCATGGAAATAGTGGATTTACCCATTGAAAATGCTGATTTTCCATCGTTTTTTGTATGTTTACCAGAGGGCATCCCCCAAGTTGAGACAGTTTGCCAGGAAAACGGTTGGGAGGTGTTTAATGTGGCCACCACATTCTGCTGATGCTTTCTGAACGGAAAGCGATGCCTCGAAATTTCAGATGGGAGGAACTTAAAGTTATCACCGGCGTTGGTGGCTCTTGGGTTTGACTGAAAATTGGGTACCCAGATTTGATTGTTTATTCAAGTTGATTAGCATGTTCCCCTGAAAAAGAACCATGTGGGGGTACATCCACCATTTACAGACACACCCGCATTGAGCAGCACATCAATGCTGGATAATGCTGGTACAGATCAAACATCCGGGGTACCATGTGATGTGGAATCTGCCCAGTTCTGTTGTCAAGTGAAGACCTATCCTATACGGGTTTGCAATTGGAATGCAACATAACATAACATAACATTTCAATGGCTGCAGCTCAACAATGGGATTTAGCCTTCAGTATGAAGATGGCTTGAAACTTGGCTTGAAGATGCGACTACATGTGGATCATTTTTTGGGGTCGCAACGTGAGGCTGCCCTCCACCGGGTGTACATCCGCAGGGGAGCCTGGTGCCATCAGATTGTTGACCTGTCAAAGCCCACATCGATGAGAAATAAGCTCAGTATACTGCTTACTCAAACGAGACGGGAGATGGTGGTTTCGACAATCCAGGCGACAGATTGGATTGGATTGGCACACCAACCTGAGAACCCCAAAAAGACAAGGTCTAGGTCTAGGCGGCAGATTGCGACAATTTCGGTGTCCTCAAGTCATGAGCATGTTCATGGGATGACTGGTCTAAGCATAGCCTGATAGTCCAGCCCCGACATTTTTCCAACCGAGCGGTATCTTCGATCGGTTGAAACATGCTGAAATCAGGTCCAAAGATGGCGCTGAGGCAGGGAACGAACTCGGATCTATGGGGACTGGGGCTTCCATTTGAGATATTCCCACAGAGTTTAAGGGTGTCACTCGCTGAGTGATCAGATTTTGAGTATGTTTGAGTCTGGTTAGTTGATGTTAGTTGATTATAGGAGCTTATACTAGCTGATATAGTTCATGGATAGTTCATTGATGTTACGGGCTGGTCATCATGAATTGTGGGGCTCCCATGGAAGCCCTAACGAGGTCACCCAGCCGGTGAGTTTGTTGGAGTGGTTTAGCAACTTCTACGAAGAGTATCAGCCCCAGACACAGAAACACCACGCGATTCAGAAACAGCATGAAGCAGCGTCTCTTGCAAGGACTTCAAAAAGATGTTTTCAGCATCTTCAAAGTCGATTCGTCGATTCAGATCAGGTTTTCACGGAGTTTTCACGGAGTTTCCACGGGGTTTTCCATTTTTCCACGGGGTTTTCAGGCATTTTCACCCAGAAAACGTTCTGAAAACGCCCTTAGCGCCCGAGGTTGCAACGTCACGTGGAGGCCAACCCTGCCTGGGAGCTGAAGGAGCTCGAACTGGTGTTTCCATGGTGTTTCCTCCATCATTTTCTGTGAGAGGTGTGAGATGTTCCATGATGTTTCCATGATGTTTCCATCATGTTTCCATCATGTTTTCTATTTTCATTGCCATTGATTGCCACTACAGGAGGGCACTTGTGGAGCTGGTGATCTGGTGTTCATTCCGAGCGGATGGTGGCACTTTGGATGAAGTTTTGCTTCCCACAACATGGGATATACATGTTTAAAGGACCAAGTATATGATTAACATTGGTTAATATTGATTAAGAATGGTTAACATTGATTAAGATTGATTAACATTGACTCAGATTGATTAAGAATGGTTAGCATTGGTTAACATTGATTGACATTAATTAACATTGATTAAGAGGAATTAACATTGATTAACATTGGTTAATATTGATTAAGAAAGATTAACATTGATTAACATTGATTAATATTGATTAACATTGATTAAGAATGATTAGCATTGATTAACATTGATTGACATTGATTAACATTGATTAACATTGATTAACATTGATAAACATTGATTAACATTGATTCATTTTGATTAACATTGATTAACATTGATTAACATTGAATAACCTTGATTAATATTGATTAATATTGATCAACATTTAATTTATTAACATTGATTAACATTGTTTGACATTGATTAACATTGATTAGCATTGTTTAAGATTGATTAATATTGATTAACATGGATTAAGATTGATTAACATTGATGAACAAGAAAAGATGTCATGTAATGGGTGCCGTTTTTTCTGAGAGGGCCAAGAAAATCGGATGAAGACCCATTTACCAGCTGAGTTTTGATCTATTTTGTGATGTCACTGGGGGTACGGCCCCGTTTTCCCACCAGATGGGTGAAACCTTTGGACCTGCCTTGGTCAACAGCTCTTCATGCCGATCTAAGGGTCGAGACTTAAGATCAGTAACCAAATAGTCATTGCGTTGGATATACCCTCTTGTTATTTAACATAGCCATGGAAAATGGCCCATTTATAGTGGATTTTCCTATTAAACATGGTGATTTTCCATAGTTACGTTAGTTTACCAGAGGGTAAGGTGTTGAATCTTATGATTGTGATAGTCTTCAGACATGTCAAGACAGTCGTGATAAACAGTAGTGACAGATCAATGTTCCCTCACGATTAAAAAAAGTTGCTGTCTCCTGTCTGATCTAACAGCGTGGACAGCATCGAAAAAGTGAAGGGAAGAGACGAGAAATGGGATGGTAACCGTCCAAATCGGTTTCTATGTTTTTGGTATGGGCGCCTCTAAGAGGCCGTGCTTTTTTGAGGTTTTTGGGGTGGGGTGGGGTGGGGGGGTGCAATAACGTTCATGTCTCTTGCGTGCAAGGTGAGGCGACGTGGATGCTGCGCCGATGTTACGTTGATCATACGTTGCTGCTACGTTGAGGAGATGTTGATGCTACTGTTGGGGTGGGGTGGGGTGGGGTGGGGTGGGGGGGGTGCAATAACGTTCATGTATCTTGCGTGCAATGTGATGCGACGTGGATGCTGCGCTGATGTTACGTTGATCATACGTTGATGCTACGTGAGGAGAGTTGATGCTACTGTTGGGGGGTGGGGTGGGGTGGGGGGGGTGCAATAACGTTCATGTATCTTGCGTGCAAGGTGATGCGACGTGGATGCTGCGCTGATGTTACGTTGATCATACGTTGATGCTACGTTGAGGAGATGTTGATGCTACTGTTGGGGTGGGGTGGGGTGGGGTGGGAGACCTTTGCCGCAACGACATGTACAAATGTCTGGGAGACCTTTGCCGCAAAAGCGGCTGAAACAAAGACGTCGGCAACGCAGAAGAAAAAGCGTAAAGCTGTCTTTTCCAAGCTGATGGCTTTCGTCCCACAAAAACCATTAAAATCACACCGTGACTCTCATTTTTCCATACCCTTCCATGACTTTTGACACACCCACAAAATATAGATATCTGTGAAAAACCGCTCTCGTTGTGGTGAAACCTTGGAACATAATTGAATAGAAATATATCCATTTGCTGAAACACACGGCCTCTTAAAGGCGCCCTTACCATGTTTTTGGTCATGATTCCTGTGGGAAAATTTAACGTAGCTGTGAAAAATCACCATTTTGATAGGGACGATTTTTCAATCAACGGGCCATTTTCCATAGCAAAACTGTTAAATTACCAGAGGGATCCCTCTGTTCTTGCACCCGGCGCATGGATTCACGGGCTGCTCAAACCCCCGGTGGTGAGGCATTGCGTTTTGAACCTCGATGATGACACCATTGCGGTCTGCTGGCATCTTTGGAGGGATCTAACAGTAGATTCAGTAGATGTGTTGAGTTTTCCAGTCTGGTCATCAATGGATTAGTAGGATCTTACTGAGATCTTAAATATACTCGTAAGGATTTCCATTCTGGGATGGATAACCATGAGCCACATACGTCCGTTAATCCCATGTAACTTGACTCACTTGACCCGCACAGATGAAATCGAAGACGAAAGTTGCGGAATGATACAGAATGGACAAGTTAGACACATGGCCAGACACTTTGTAAGGTACACTCTGTATGCTTGCCAGAGCGCCATGGACAAGTTTTGGCTTTCTACCTGGATTGAATGGCCAGTCGTGTTTTCAGACTGATTTGCATATATTACTAGACATTTACTATTTACTTTTTACATCTCTTTACTAGTACTAAACTCCATCGGGATTTTCCGTTGTTTGGGCCGAACCAGCTGTCAGGTGACCCAGAACTACGCCTCGGAGACGCACGTCTCCTCGGTTCGCCGCTTCCTGTCGGAGCGTCGGGACCAGGTGAGTCATGCCGCGCTGTGCGCCAGTTCACGACTTTCATGGCAAGGGTATCAAGCCGAAAGTTGGAATATGGATATTAGATGATATTTGACGATATTTGATGATATTTGACCATATTTGATGATATTGGATGATATTGGATGAAATTAGATGATATTGGATGATATTAGATAACATTAGATTATATTAGATGATATTGGGTGATATTGGGTGATATTGGACGATCTTAGATGATATTGGATGATATTAGATGATATTGGATGATATTGGTTTTATTAGATGATCTCTAAATTGGATGATATTAGATGATATTGGATGATATTTGGTGATATTAGTTGATCTCTAAATTAGATGATATTAGATGATATTGGATGATATTTGGTGATATTAGTTGATCTCTAAATTAGATGATATTAGATGATATTGGGTGATATTGGACGATATTAGATGATATTGGATGATATTAGATGATATTAGATGATATTGGATGATATTGGATGATATTTGAGGATAGTTGCTGAAATTAGATGATATTGGATGATATTAGATAACATTAGATTATATTAGATGATATTGGGTGATATTGGGTGATATTGGGTGATATTGGACGATCTTAGATGATATTGGATGATATTAGATGATATTGGATCATATTAGATAATATTAGATGATATTGATTGATACTGGATGATATTTTGTAAATATAGTGAATCATTTACTATGCGTACCCTGGGAGTCCCGGACTATTCTTTGTTTAGCCTTTTATAACAGCTATACTCAGGCGTGACCGCCTATACTTTGGCAGTTCTGAGGTGGTGCCAGCTGGCCATGGAAAGGGCTCAAGTGATGCCATATTAATATAGAAGCACACAGAAAATAATAAGATTTCTGTCGGTGATAACATTTTTCGGACATCCAGTGCTTTGACACATGGAAATAAATCAAAATCCCAGAAGAAATATACCTACCACATCTTGGAGTATAAACAACAAATCATATGGGGTATAAATTGGGTTCGATCAGTGCAACTGCCGCTAAGTGAAATGATTGTTATTTGACTGCACCTGGAAGACTCGAAGCACCATTTTTTCATCCAAAGTCGAATATTCATTTGTGGCTCAAAGGAAAACGCAATCATTTCTTCGGTGCAAAATCCCAGTATGTAGCATCATTGTCAAGTAGTCTGCGGGTTTTTGATTTTGGAGGCCATACAATCTGGCAGCACCATGTTTATCTTTGTTGCGGCGACGAATGAGTTGAGAAATTGAGAAATGTTGAGAATAAGTGTCACCCATGCTGAATGAAAGTTCCCGGCTTCGACGTTGACTATGATGTCGCCACGCTACGCAGAATGCTTTGATGTGAACAAGCATTGGCGCTTGAAAAGTGAGCTCTTGTGGGCAACGGTTTGATGGCTCAAAGACCCTTTGATTCTTGGGAATCAAGATTTGTTAAAATACGGAAAATCTACACTCTACAACATGAGCATGACATGACTGTGACCGGCCGTGACCGGCATGACCCGCGAAAGGCTATGTTAATTTTAGTCTTTTATTTAAAACCTAAATTAAGTGTAGCCTGTGGAAGGCTAGGGTGTATGTATTTCCCGATATTATATATATCGGCCTCGACCGACCATCAAAACAATGGTTTGCTTTTTTTTGCGCTGCTATGTGTGGAGGAGCTTGCGGTGCAGGCTCACAGCTCTTGCACTTTACCTGCGCCTTGGCGTCATGCCGCGACCAGGAGAGTTCGTTCTTTATTTGAAGAATCACGCGAATAACCATGCATCGCTGGAACCATTCATTTCCAGCAACATTCGGTCGAGGATAAATTTAGAGCTTGGAGAAAACAACCGACAAGGTTCCCGAATACTTTTTGTTGTATTCTACAGAATTTTTGAATCCCTCCTACCTTAAGTAAATTATTTCCGGGCGGGGGTCACCCACCAAAATAACTTTCCAAAATAATTTCAAAAATCTACCAGTAGTACCGCACACGGCGGTGGCGGAATTTTCAAAAATAGGAAACCTATAGGAGAGGTTGGTTGTTGTGAGCCACGGATGGCAGAGCGGAGCCACTGATGGACCGACAGGTGCTTGAGGTCTCCTCTCTTTCTCTCTCTTTCTTTCTCTTTCTCTCACTATCTACCTACCTTCCGACCTAGCTATCTATCTTTGATTCGATCGATCGATCGATCGATCTATCTATCTATCTATCTAGCTACCTACCTAGCTATCTAGCTAGCTAGCTATCTATCTATCTATCTAGCTACCTACCTAGCTATTTAGCTAGCTATCTATCTATCTATCTATCTATCTATCTATCTATCTATGTATCTATCTATCTAGCTATCTAGCTACCTAGCTATCTAGCGATCTACCTATCTAGCTATCTAGCTATCTAGCTACCTAGCTATCTAGCTATCTAGCTATCTAGCTACCTAGCTATCTAGCTATCTAGCTATCCCATCTAGCTATCTAGCTATCCCATCTAGCTATCTAGCTATCCCGTCTAGCTATCTAGCTATCCCATCTAGCTACCTAGCTATCTAGCTATCTAGCTACCTAGCTATCTAGCTATCTAGCTATCTATCGATCTATCGATCTGTCGATCTGTCACACACCATCTTTCACCACACCATCTTTGTCACACACCATCTTTCACCACACCATCTTTGTCACACACCATCTTTCACCAAACCATCTTTCACACACACACAACTTTGTCACACACCATCTTTGACACACCATCTTTCACACACCATCTTTGTCACACCACTTTCTCACACCATCTTTGTCACACCACTTTCTCACACACCATCTTTCACACACCATCTTTCACACCATCTTTGACACACCATCTTTCACACCCTCTTTGACACACCATCTTTCACACCATCTTTCACACACCATCTTTCACCCCACTCTGTTGTCACACACCATCTTTCACACACACACACAACATCTTTCACACACAACTTTGTCGCAAGTCAATATGTGGACTAGACAAAGGTCGTGTTGGTCCCTCTTAGTGCTTGCTGGCACCAGAGTCATTCTCGGAACGCCCCGCATGTGGAGGTTCTTTGGAATTACTATCCACAAGCAGTTCGGATCCGAATTCTACGCTGGGAAGGTTGGATGCGACAGATGCTGGAAAGTTTGGATTTGCACCAGTGTAAAGATCAGCTGATCGTTCCGTCAACAACGGGATGAGTGCCACTGCCCAGTGCGGCCTTGAAACTCTACCAGGTCCAAGATATCTCCTTTGACGTCCTGATCTCAGGCAGCGTTAGACGCAGATGTCAACAGACTCTGCAGTCAGGAACACATCGTATTTTCATCTGTTTTTCTATGAGGTACTGATCATCACTGGTCATCACCTTGCCTTTGCGATAGCCTGGCAGTTTTCAAAAGCTCATGCTGATGGTACTTTCATGGTCGCGGTTAACCCGTAGAGGAACCTAAAAGTGGCTGATAGCCAATGCAATGATATTGTCAAGCGCTCACCATTGTCGACGCCAAGCAGGGAACCACCTTCGACAACAATGACGCAGCTCTGATGTGACCAGCTAAAGCACCCTCATCCATGCATATGACTCCCTTTGGGTGTAATACTCTAGAACTGCTTCAAGTACCTTGCAGAGAAGTAAGGTGTGCAGGCAAGAGAAGGCGTATCACATTGTCTACGAGGACTTGGTTTTTGCCATGTTGAGTTGAGCCTGATGTGCACGTATAGGGGGCATGTGGGGGCTTGGAGGCTACGAAAACGCAGGGTACCTGACTTGGAATATATGTGACAACATATGGAGCAGCGAGCTCACTTTGAAGAAAGACTTTGATTAAGTATGGGCGGGTTTCTGGCGGCATGTGGCTATCCCTAACACTCTCACCCTGGCAGGATGGAGATCGCGAGCACATGAGCCACAGAGAGCTCATCACCTTGATGATGCCTGACCCATGCGTGTGGGTGGATGGGAGATGTCATTCATTGTTGAATGGACAGTTGCCACTAGGCAATGCCCATTTATCTACCTATCTAACAACCTAACAATCTAACTATCTAGCTATCTAGCTATCTAGCTATCTGGCTATCTAGCTATTTGTCTGTCTGTCTGTCTGTCTGTCTGTCTTTCTGTCTTTCTGTCTCTCTATCTATCTATCTATCTGTCTGTCTGTCTGTCTGTCTGTCTGTCTATCTGTCTATCTGTCTATCTGTCTATCTGTCTATCTGTCTATCTGTCTATCTATCTATCTATCTGTCTATCTATCTCTCTCTCTCTCTATTTATCTCTCTCTCTCTCTTTTTCTATCTCTCTGTCGGTCTGTCTGTCTGTCTATCTATCTGTTTTTTGCAAGCTTGAAAACGAAGCTATTCTGCGAGACTTCCTCAGTTTTTGAACTTGACAACATCAAAAACGCAGCAATTCTGCGAGACTTCCTCAATTTTTGAACTTGACAACATCAAAAACAAAGCAATTCTGCGAGACATCCTCATTTTTGGAAGTTGACAACAGCAAAAACGAAGCAATTCTGTGAGACTTCCTTAAGAAAATGGAAAGTTGAGTGCAGAGTTGACGGCCTCGTACCAATTGCGTTTTGCAATTTTTACACTCCAGCTGTCTAAAGTATTGCGCCTGCCACGAAAAAGTGATGCCAGGTCATACGAAGTGTTGCACCTGTCACGCAAAATCATCTGAGCAAACCTGAAGATCTGATGCTCCAAAATGCAACGCCTCTCAGGAAATCAGCGCGCGGACCTCCTAACAGCTCTGATGAACATGTCTCTTGTACTGCGCCTGCCACGGAAAATGCATCTTTGCAGATCCTCTTCAAAAGTCCCACGCCTGCCATCGCTTTTGGAAATGCCACCAGACCCTCACGTTTTGCTCACTTTTGAGAAGGTGCACAATCCCTTGCGCCTGCCACGCGAAACGACATCTGAACGTCCAAAAGTGGTGCGAGCATGTGGTGTTTTTAACATTTTGACTTGGAAATGTGCTTCGCGCCAAAACTGCGTGCACTTTTTCGACATCTCAACTTCCAACAGTGGTCCAGAGCTGCTGTGCTTTGTACATTTTGACT